TGAACTCATAGTGACCCTATGAACAAATGGCCTGAAGCCCCTCCACAACTATTGACATTTATCAAAGTTCATAGAATTTCCGGAGGCATGTGATTTAGTAAGTGGATGCCACTCCTGCTTCCAAACCTGTCATAGTATGTTATTGTTGTTTTGATTTGCATCTCTCTTAGAGCAAGGAATTTTGCACATCCGTGCATAGAAACACTTTTTTTTTCCACTATAGCCATCATTTGCAGCAACGTGTGAATCCAAAGAACAAGGCCCAAATGTGTATCCAGTGAGTCCATGCTGTTAATGTTAGGTATTTAGATGTAAAGTTTAGTTGTTGAGTTGCCTGAGATGTATAGTGACCCTATATACATTAGCTCTGAACCCTTCCCCGTCCTGAGCCAGTCTCACTAATTCCAACACATCGACCTAGTCACTGTATCAATCCATCTCATCTGGGGTCTGCTTCTACTGCGCTGTCCCTTTACACTTCTGAGCATGATATCCTTCTCCAAGGACTGGTCTCTCCTGGCCACATGCCCAAAGTGAGGCAGAGCTTGAAAATCCTAGCCTCCAAGAAGAGACTTGGTTTCACCCTCTCTAAGACATACCTATTTGTTTTCTTGGCAGTCCATGGTATGTTCAAGACTCTTCTCCAGCACTATAACTCGAAGGCATCTATTCTTCTGTCATCTTAATCATTGTCCAACTCTCTGAAAAATAACAAGTAATTAAGAAGACCATGTCTTGGATTAAGTGCACTTTTGTACCTATACTGACATCATTGCTCTTCAGCATTCTGGAGAGGTCCATGACAGCAGATTTTCCCAATGCAATTTGTCTTTTGATTTCCTGACTGCTGGTGTTAAGACTGTTGATTGTGGATCTGAGCAAGCTGTAATCACTAATAACTTTAATCTCTTTTCCATCTATTATGGTGCTGCCAGTTGGCCTAGTGGTGAGAATCTTTGTCTTCTTGATGTTGAGCTTCAATCCATATTGAAGACTACAATCCTTGACCTTCTGCAGCAAGTGCGTCATGTCTTCTTCAGTTTCAGCAAGCAAGGTTGTGTCATCTCATATCGTAGATTGTTAATGAGTCTTCCTCCAATCTTGATACCACAATCCTCTTCATAAAGCCCTGCTTTCCGAATGATCTGTTCCGCATACAGATTGAAAAGGTATGGGGACAGGATGCATCCCTGACACGCTTCTTTCCTGAATTTGAACCATACAATGTTTCCTTGCTCTGTTCTGAAGACTGCTTCTTGGTCCAAGTATATGTTTTGTATAAGCACGATTAAGTGCTCTGAGATTCCCAATTTCCTCAAGGTTAGCCACAATTTATTGTGATCCATACAGTCAAATGCCTAGTCAATGAAACACAGATAGACATTCTTCTGGTACTCTCTGCTTTCTGCCAAGATCCATCTGACTTTGGCAATAATGTCCCTTGTGCCACAACCTCTTCTAAACCCAGCCTGTATTTCTGGTAGTTGTCTGTCAATGCATTGTTCAAGTCTTTTCTGGATAATCTTCAGGAGGATTTTACTAGTGTGTGATATTAGTGACATTGTTTGATAATTGCCACACTCTATTGGGTCATAGTATTTGTTAACTGGTGAGCAGATTAAGTTTAAGGCAGCATTAGACAGCTCATTCTTCTCCTGCTGAAAATGACTCACAGAACCTCTCTGTTCTTTTAATTGGGAAAAGCAGAGGCACACAATCTCTTTGTCAATGGTGACAGAAAGATGCTGGAACAAGATGAAATCCTTTGCACCTTGATCCCATTACAGCATGGATGCAGACTCCTCAACAATGGTACTGCAGAGAAGTTTTTGTTGTCTTTGTCCCCTGAGTTCGCTCAACTCCTGCATGTATTTTACAACCTTAGCTTCTTTCTCTGATCAGGATTTGGCTGTGGTCAAGATTTACACGTAAAGTTATGGATGGGTCTTAAATGATGCACCAAGCCTGCGTAATTGAGAATGGCTGCGTAAGGTGAAGCCTCATTAAAGCATCATGATTTAAGGAAGGGTGCCAGGTACTGTCAACGACGCCTGTGTGTGTGGAAGATGAGGAAGTGCTGACACTCTGACATGGGTTTATCCTTCGACCTTACAAAACTGTATATTTTCAGAAAGGAGATTCATCCACTGGACCTTTTCTCCCTCCCCAGAAGCTGTCATTAAGCCCTTCTCTCTTTGTTGCTGGAACCAACACATAGCTGACCCTCCAGCAAGTTCTCAGGGGCAGTAAATCACACAGGGGATTCCTCATCCTTCCCAAAGGAGCAGCTGTGGATTTGAACTGTGTTCCTTTGGGATTGCTGTGTAGCTTCTCACCACTAGGCTTCCAGAGCGCCAAAGCTTTAACAGCATTGCCCTACAGGGGTATATTGGCTGCACCTTCTCCAAGACGTAAATGGTTGGGGTTTTTTAATTGAGATTTTCATGAAAGCTTATAAAGAACTTGGTTTTCCAATTGCTCATTGTTGCACAGTTTCCTCCCTGCCCCCTGCACCCCCAGGTTGCTTTTTTCTTTGGGAAAAAAGTTCTCTCATTGTTACACAATCCCCCCACCCCACCAGACCACTTTACTGTGCAGCTCTTTTTCTGGACTCTTGTCATGTCCATACTACCTAATCATATATTCCTTTTATATAGTTCTTTCCCTCATCTGTTTCAATGTCGTGTACATTATTTATCTCCTCTTTTCTTAATTTTCACCCAGCACTTATATCAGTTCTGTTTTATAAAAGTGTCATTATGCCATATTTGTCTTTAACTGTTTGGTGTTGTTTTTTTTTATAGTCCATGCAATATTCAGTGCTCTTCTCCAACACAACAGCTCTAAGGCATCAATTTTTCTTTTGTCATCCTTATTCATTGCCCAGCTCTCAGATGCATCACAAGTGATTAGGAAAGTCCATGGCCTGAATTTGACACACCTTAGTCCTCAAAGTGACATCATCACTCCTCAAGAATTCGGAGCAGACCCTGACTACAAGCTTTCCCAGTGCAATATATCTATCTCCTCACCTAGGTATATTTAAAATGTTTGAGGGAACTGTAGGCATAAGCCTATCTTATCCATGGTGGTGATGGTGACAAAGAGTGGAAAAGGTAAGGATATTCAGGGTTACTCTGAAACTGTACTTTTAATCTTCATAATGATTTTAGGAAGAGCTTGGAAAAGAGGTCTACTAAAAGATCAAGTAAAAAAGATTGGCAAATACAGTCACAGTTGCACAATTTGTTCTAGTCTTAAACGGAAAACTTCTCAAGTGCCCATCCATAACAGATTGGATAAACTGTAGTCCAGTCACACAAGATTCTGCAGCAATGAGAGTGAATGACACCCAACTAAAGACAAGAACAGTGACGAATCTCAGAAATGTAATGGTGACTGAAAGAAGAAAGGCACAGAAGAATAAATACTGATTGATGTGGTATTATATAAAAGTCAGGGGCATAGGTGCCCTGGGAGGAGGGAAGTGGCTGACAGAGGACAGGAGGAGGGGGTTCAGATGTGTTGGTGGTAATGGCAGTGGCTTGCAGGTGCTCATTGTAGGGCTGATCCCCCCTGGAGCTGTTCAGTTACACAATGTTTGCATACATGCTAAAGTTCTAGAATTTTTGCTTTTATCTTTAAACATAAATAGGCATATTTCAAAGGACAGGAAATTCATACTTTGGACAGAAGTCTCCTCACATTTAGGTATGTTAGTGGAAATAAGGGTGTCTGGAGGTGCACCTCTTTTGCAAAATTTTAATCAAGTAATTAAATACATTCAACTAGTTACTAAGACAGGGGAAGAGGAACAAAAACCCTCAAGGAACGAGCTTCCCTCAAGGATTAGACAACCCACTGCCTACTTCACATCCACATGAAATTGCTGGAGCGCCCGTGTCTATTCTGAAATGCACTTTCTGAAGCTAGACAGCTGGCACAGGGTACATAGTGAGTAACAGGCTCACAATTTTAATTTATTATCAAAATATTTCTATCAGATAACAAACCTGGAAAGCAGAGGAGATGAGGAGCTACGTCGAAGCAGTTTTGCCCTTTCGGGCATGTCCACCCTCAGGCCCAGACAACCCCAAAACGCCCGCTGGTAAACCACAAGTAGAATACCTCAACAGACAACCCTCCAATGGCATTTTTTCTTTTAACCCCAAGGTTTGTGCTTAAAGCTTTTCATCAATATGATTTATAAGTTTAAAAAGTCTCAAGTCTTCATCTGTACATCACTTTACATTAACTATTTACCTCAGAGTAAAGAACTCTACTTGAAACGTCAATACTCAGTGATTAATTATAACAGTTATTTAGTCATACACATACTTAACAATTAAATATAAAAATTATTATTTATACATTACTACAAATCCTTTAAAAAGACCAAGTTTTAAGAGAGAATGAGAAATAAAATTCTTAGAAAACTGCAGGGGGCTTTAAGAATCCCAAGATTCAGTTAAGCAGGTACAACGCAAACCATTTGAGACATTCGTCTTTGTCTTCAGAAAGCATAAAAAAAAATGTCATCTCAGAACAAGCGACTGATCATTGGCAAAACCCATTTAAACAACATAAGCTCCAAGGCCCCAGGATGTATAAGAATTCTTTGGAAGGGTTTTCAAGGATCGTAAATGTTGCCACTGAAAATGAAAAGCAACGACTTGAGGTGATCCATGTTTGAACTATCTTGTCTCCACAGTGCTTTTCATCTACTCTTTAATGTGATTTCCCCCTCTTTGATTAGAAATCTCCGCCTACATCACCCAGGAGGTAACAGCACTTTTCCCAAGGGACATCGGACTGGTAGATCATGTGAAAACTGGAAATAAAGAGCAATGTCATCTTCAGAAATTGGGCATTATTTACACAGTGATTTGTAGCTGATTTGAGAGACATTAGACAGCCTCCCCTCTCCACATTCTTTTAAAAATAACCTAAATTGGTTTTTATTATGATTCCAAGGCAGTTAGCATGGTGAAGAGCTCTAGTCTCTGTTAACCACCCCAAGAAATTACAGTGCTCTCCAGGGTGCATTTTTTGGGGGATGAAGAACTCCTCATTTCTGGGGTGCTTGTAAGTCTAGTGAAGGGTCCCTTGGCTTCTCCTGAAGATCACCAAACTCGACATTTGTTTTCTCGATTCATGAATGAATTCTTGCGGCATTGAAAGGCTTCTGAAAACTCTGGAGAATTCTGCAACGTCCCAATAATCCTTGAAAACAAATAAAAAGCCATCATCAGCATTTGCAAACCATGGACATACCACCACAGAGCGCTGTGGAATTTTTCTACACAAATCAAGCACATAAATGTGGAATTTACAGTTTAAAAAAATCGAATACATTCACCAAAGTAGATATTCAGATGGCCAACAAGCACATGAAGAAATGTTCAAAATCCCTAGCTCGAAGAGAGATGCAAATCAAAACAACTATGAGAAGGAAGCAACAAATGCTGGTGAGGTTGTGGAGAAACTAAAACCCTTATTCACTGGTGGTGGGAGTGTAAAATGGTAAAACCACTGTGGAAAGCGATGTGGTGCTTTCTCAAAAAGTTGCAAATAGAGATACCATTTGACCCAGCAATTCCATTACTGGGAATATACCCCAAAGAGACCATAACTGACACCCAAGCAGATATATGCACACCCATGTTTATCACAATAGCAAGGAGTTGGAAACAACCCAGGTGCCCATCAACAAACGAATGGATAGAGAAGCTGTGGTATATTCACACAATAGAATACTACGCTGCATTGAAAAACAAGGAACTCATGCAATATTATTCAAAATGGGTGAGTCTGGAGGACATTATGCTGAGTGAAATATCTCAGTCGAAAAAGGACAAATACTGCACGGTGCCACTGCTGTAAAATGGGACTGATATCAGGGTTGGGTTAAGACTGAGAAAAACTGGATAAATTGCGTATATTGCATTGAAACAGATGAGAGAAAGAATAATTTAAAAGCGATGATAGGGTCTTATGGTTATCACAAGAGTCCACAATTAAGGCTGCATAGTGGAGTGTACTTGGGGCGGTGGGAGGGGTGTGGGGGGATTGTATATCAAAGAAAGAATTTTTCTTCTACTTTTCAAAGAGAGGAGTGAACTGGGGCGAGGGCACAGAGGGGAGAGCTGGGCAGGGAGAAAAGTGCAACAATGAGTGAATGGAAATCTAAAATCTCTGTAAATGTTCATTAAAATTATTAAAATAAAATCTAAAAAAATAATTAAAAAATAGAATATGGGGGGATTGTATACCAATGAAGGAACTTTTCTTTTACTTTCAGAGAGAGGAGCAGACTGGGGAAGAGGGGTGGGCGGGGAGAAAAATGTAGCAATGAATAAATGGAAATCCAAAATCTCTGTAAATGTTCATTAAAATAAAATAAAAAGAGAATATGAAAAAATAGTCAAATATTTGAAATATGAGAATACTATGTCCCATCTCATTAACGTTCAGTTCCTTGTTAGGTGCCATCAACTATGAGTCATAACAACCTCCTGAACTGCAGATCTGAACCTCGCCTACCATGTGCCATCCTCACAGTCTCGTATGTTTGGGCCCATTGTGATAGTCACTATGCCAATTCAGCTTGCTGACAGTCTTTTCACCGACCTTCCACTTCCCCAACATGATGTCTGTTTTCCCCCCAAAGACTGGCCCCCGCCTGACAACCCTGTCAAAGTACGTAAGACAAGGTTTCATCATCCGTGCCTGTCAGGAGCACCGTGATGACACTTCCTCTAAAACAGAATGACTAAAAAGCAACAAATGACAGAAAAGCAACAAAATGTGAGAGTTAAGAGCACATATCTTAAGGGGGTAGGGGAGGAGAGCACATAGCTAGAGATAGACTATAGGGTTTAAATCATGGCTCTGGGAATATTCATTTAATCCCTCTGGGCCTCAGTTTTCCTTAAGTGAAAAATACATGTAATGATCGTGAACCTTCTTTTTGTAGTTGTTACTGGGGCTGTTCTACTCTTGGCACTGAGTACTCATGTACAAAGTGGATTTGCTCTCTTGTTCTCAAAGCCGCGTGTTTTCAGAAGCAGACCGTGAGGGCTGTTTCCTAAGATGCCTCTGGGTGGCTTCAAACTGCCAACCTTCTAGCCAGGAGTTGACTACTTAGCTACCTAGGAATTCTATTCTACCCATGTTTTTGATAAATAATTCATATTTGAAATTGCCTTTCTGAATAGTTTGGCCAAAAGAAAAGAAAGCAGAACTGTCCCTTGAAAGGGCTCACATAATAATAATAAACATCACAGACTTTAAGCAAGTACTTGTTTACCTGATAGAGGAGGGTGGACAGCAGATTACCCCACCCCCTCAGAAAGCAGTGCTCAGAGATTACAAACTAGAATCAGCCTGAGTAACTGGAAAGGGTGGGTAATGCTCAAATGTGCTCTAATCTCTGACCCCAGTGGGTGTAAAACCCAGCACTTTAACTTCTGTTGGTACAAAGCTACTTTACAGAAGGCAAACAGGCAAACAGCACAAGGATGTGGAGGTTGGGTTTGAGCCCCCTGCTGGGGGCCGAGTGGGCTCCTCTCCCACCTACCCTAGATTGGGACAAGGCTGGAATAATAAAGGCCAAAGACTATTTACTCGTTAGCCCTGTCTTGCTCCCCTCTGATGGAGTGGGTCGCGTGGACTGGAGTTGTAGGAAAAGTAGGAGCAGTTGACACAGAAATAAATTCTCATTTACCGACATCTTTAAAAATGGCAGCTGTATTAACACACATGAGTCCTCTCTATACCCACCTCATCAAAACAATCTTTAAACATTCAAATCTGATTACTTACATTCACCTAAAGCTTCTGAAGGAAATGTAATCTTATCACGCCTTGCAAGGTCCCCATGGCTCGGGTGATAATCTCAGGATTCTCATAATACCAAGTACATTTCTGTTCCCATTTCTTATTGGGCTGCAGTTACACCCACCGATTTTCCATTCTTCAAACCTGCCAACCTCCTGCCTTCCTCAGGATGTGTGATGGCTCTACTCCTTGAAAGCTACTCTTTAATGGTTAATTCCTTTACATGCTTCAAGCCACCACTTAAAAATATCCCCTCCCTGGATGCCTTCACTGATAGAGAAATCAGTTCTTTGGCCCGCACAATCTCTAGTAAAATACTTCTCAGTGTTTGTAATTACGTGTTGTCCTTCTTTCCCTCCTGTCACATCCATTAGTCATTTCTATGAAGGCAAAATATGAGATGCTTCTTGTCCTTGTGAATCCCCAATCCCTAGCATAGTGCTTTGTACAACCAGGATTCAGTGTCCAGTGAACATGAATATATTAGGTTAGGGCTTGAGGAAAAAAAATATTACTCAGTGGTTTTGTTATTTGCAGCCGTGGACCAATCAAGACGGGAAGAAAGCATTTCCTTCCTCTATCCACATTTCAACAAAAGGAGCTTCCTAGGCTATTTCTAAAAGTTGGCTTCCGTGTTGTGTCCAGCAGACCACATCAACTAGCTCTTCAACTCATCACCACAACTCTCCTTTTAGGATGATTTTATTTTGTTTTAGGGCTCACAGGAAATAATTAAAAAGAATTATGAGTGAAGTACGTGCAGAACTTGGAAATTTACACCTCTTAGTGTATTCAAGGCAGGGAGCTCAGTGGCCTTGTCTGGAGGGAGATGTGCAGCTGTTACTCCAAAGGCCACACCCCTCTGATGGTTCTGCAGGAGAAAGAGCTCCCAGCTCCTCAGAAACCTACTGAGAGGTCAGCTATGAGCCGGTTCCACGGACAGCAGGGAAAGGACACTGAGGAGGAAAAATGACTGGCCTCCCCAAGACTGTGAGGGCCTGGAATGGGAGATTACACAGATGACAAAGAACCTTCCTCCCGAACCTGAGCAGGGTCCCAGAAGGCCTCTCATAGGACGGCATGTGGCTGCTGAAACGTCTGAAGGGGTAACGCAGCCCCTAACTCGGGCTCATGACTCACTCTCCAGTGTCTTCCCTGTCACCAGTTCAAGCTGAAGAGGAAGCTATCCCTTCATTCTGGGCGTTTGATGCCTCTGGATTTCTGTATGCGGAGAATCTTTTGTTGATTGCTGTAGAGTGAATCACAACTTACAGCGACACTATGAACAACAAAAGGCCTGATGCGTTTCTACAACTATTGTCATTTACGAAAGTTCATGGAGTTTCCAGAGGCATGTTGTTTAGAAAGCGGACACCACTCCTGCTTCAATATTTTTGAGTCTGATCATAGCACTTCTAGCATTTTGATTGAGGGAAACCAGTCTCATTTCTAACATATGCACATTTATGAACAATTCACTCCTGATACACTCTATCACACATGAAGGAATTAAGAGATCTTAGGCATCAGCTCTTACACTGGTCTGGGTTCTAGGTCTCTAAACTAGAGAAAACTTGGACTTAATTTAGTCCTTGCTTTCCCATTTCAGGAAATCCTACACAGTGGCTGAGAGAAGGACTTGACTTTGGTTTGACTCTTCCTCGATCTGGGAAGTAAGTTTATGGACTAACCAGGAAGATATTTCAGTGAATTATAGACATCCTTGCAGTTGGACAAATATTCCAACAAAAATGTCCAAAACCATGGCTTAATTCCACATGTCTTTTAAAAACATCCTCAAACAAATCTATATTGGAGGAAGAACAACCAAGGGTGCTCCAGAGACACAGGGATAATGACACATTGTCTCAAATACTTCGGAAATGTGATCAGGTAGGGCCAGTTCTTGGTAAAAGATATCACGCTGGGAGAAAGAAAAGGTCAGCAAAAGAGAAGCAGCCCCTCAACCAGATGGACTGACAGTGTCTGGTAACGCTGGACTGGAGCACGGCGGAGGTTGTGAAGGTACAAGACAGGGCTAGGTTCTGATCTGTTCTTGTTCAGATGGTCACTGAGATGTAGTTGTACCAACGGCACCCAACAACAACGTAAAAGGGTGACACAAAACCTCCAAGTCCTCCGAGACCATTACTGAGAGTGAGCAGATGTGCTCGACGTAAAGTCCACCACTTCTATCTCTCCATCTCCTTCCAGCTCAAAACTTCATTCAGATGATTTGTTTCTGGATGATTAGGTCAACCACCCACCAAGGTTTCACGTGGTTTCTTAGAACTCGAGTTAGTGTTTGGTTTTTTATGACAGCACATCTTTCAGCGAATGATACACCTCATAAATAATTTATCTTGAAAATAAATACATTATTA